CGATCGCTATCGTGTACAAGGCTTTGGATTAGACAGTATAAGTTAAAACAAGGGACATTTTCATAAACATGTCTATCACACCAGAAATACCTGATTAGGTAGGCGCGAGGTGGCTCCGCGTCTCTGGATACCCGCATGGTGGGAGGCTGAGGGCAGAGATGCGCTTGGGGAGCTCAAGGGGAGTTCAACGACCCAGCACCATGAAGCAGAGCGAAACCGCAACGCGCTACTATCTACTAAAAAATCAGCAAAGAAATTGGATGGAACAATAAAAGTATATAGAAAGAATACGCTCGAGTGTTGCGGTGAACATGCCTGTCCAGCCCAACTGCTCTGGGAGCTGACGGCAGCAGAGGATTGCTTGACCAGACGTTTGGATTGCACTGTGAGCTAGGGCTGCAGCCACTAGACTCACGTCTAGGCCGTGGGGCAATAAAGTGAGCGATTCTGTCTTAAAAAAATACAATAAAAAGATGAAGATGACATGAGAAAGGCAAAACGTAACCCGATTTTTGTTTACTATCAACCAGTTAGGCTCTACTGGGCAAGGTGTGCTCTTGCATCCGCTCCTCTTCTCAGGATACTCAGGCCCCATCGCCATCAGTGGTGAGATGGAGGCTCAGAGAGGTCAGTACTTGCCCAAGACCATATGAGTAATGTGTGGCCATGGTGGGCTTCAACTTGAGGTCATGTTCTCAGAGCCAGTGGGAAGCCATTATCCTCAACGCCAAAAATGAGGAAATACCCACGAGAAAAAAGCAAGTATACAGTTCTACCGTGAGAAAGCATGATGAACAAAACCCCAAAGGGGAGATCTAGAATGATGTAATTTGTCTAGTGCAGTGTGGACATGGATTGTTCTGGGGGGCATTGTATGCACTATATCATACCACTGTATCCTCTGAACAACTCAACACAGATACGAGATCGTCAAAGCATAGCCATACTTTAAAACTCAAAAGGCAGACTATCTTTATAGACGAAGAAAACACTTACTGGTTAGATAATTGAACTTTTGGTTCTCTTTAAGTTTTCAGTGAAGTGATTAAATCTTTACAAAAACCAGAAATAGAAATCTTCAATAGAAATCCTTTCACTTCTGGAGGAAACCAATTTGAACCTTGTCCTGTCTGCACCCTAAACTAATCTTTACAACTCCTCGTTCGAGATCCTGTCGGATCATTTTCAGGGCATGCTACGGAGCAAACAACCTTGTGAGCTGCTTTATGAGAATTGAGTGTGAGGGACAACACGTGGATTGCCTTGTTCGGTTTTTCTCTTTTTCGAAACAGGAGTCTCACTCTTGTTTCCTTTTTCGCCGGCGCCCTGGGCCCGCGTCGCGCCACTCGCGCGGGCTCAGCCTAGCTGCCCGCAACCTCAACCTGGCTCAGGCGAACTTCTCGCCTGCTACAGCGTCCGCACGTAGCCTGGGGCTACAGGGGCATGCGCCACATGCCGGGCTCTTTTTCTACATATATATTATTTAGTTGGTCGCTCTAACCTTCTTTCTACTTTTTTAGTACAGAGATGGGGCTCTACTTCACTCTTCCGCTCCAGGCTGGTTATCGAACTCAGGCGCCGCCATACTGACTTGAGCGTCTCCTCACGCGCGCTCGCCTCACGCAGAAGTGCAGGATTCACACGCGTTGTCGCGCCACCGCCGGCGCCTGCTTGGTTTTTCTTGAGTAGCAATAAATTACGAAATTTATTTACATAAATTCCTAGAAAGTTCCAGATAACTACCTCTCTTTCCTAAACGGGTGGGTGGGAGGACTACTTTTTGGTGTGTCCTCACTGATTGCTGTCAACTAGCTTTACATTGCTCCCTCGCAGCGCAGTTACCTTTTTGCCAAATCTGCCTTGGCGGCGGCAACATAGACTGACGCCCAGAGGCATTAATGACTCAAGTAAATAAGTTAGCGTGCAGAAGGACACAAGTCTGCATGATCTCACTTATCATGCTGGCAGTCTAAAACAGCATCTCACCAGAAGGAGTAGCAACGCCGTAGTTACCAGGGGTGAGGGAGGATGGGGAATGGGGAGATGTTGAGTCAAAGGGTACAAAGTTTCTGTTAGACAGGAGGAATAAATTCTGGAGATCTATTGTGCAACATGATGACTATAGTTAATAGTAACATTGTATATTTCAAAATTGCTAAAACAGGAGATTGTAAATGTTCTTACTACAAAAAAATGGTAAGTATGTAGGTGATGGATATGTTAATTACCTTGATTTAGTCATTCCACAGTGCAAACCCATGTCAAAACATACACAAGCCCCATAAATATATATAATTATTATTTGTGAATTAAAAATAAAATTAAAAAAGAAGTTTCCTTTGTGGAAAAGAAAATTTGCAAGGTTTCACCCTATCAGTATTCTAGTATTCTCTATGTTTTTACTACCTTTTAAAATAATAAGAGAGTTTCTAAAATGGGGTCCACAAAGGGACATCTTATCCTCTATCGAAAATTCATGTCTGATCTAAGAATCATTTCCCTTATGATTATAAGGGAAATGATTATCTTATCATTTATCTTATCCTCTATCGAAAATTCATGTCTGATCTAAGAATCATTTCCCTTCTAATAAATATCTTTGATGAGAGAGTATATGCCCTATGGTGAAAAAGCCCCATTACAAATAAAACTCCCACTTAAGGGCCTTTTTGATCTAATAAATCAGGGTTAAACTGGGGGACTCCTGAAGTTTGCAGATTAAAACTGTAAAAGATATGTTGAATTGGCCAGGGTTGAGGAAGCATATTCCCTGAAGGTATCTGTGGGCAAAAAAACATGGTATGTAAATTCAGAATGTTGATACATTCAGCATGAAAAGACAAGAGAAGGTGGAAAGTACCAGAATTCCCAGTTTATTCCTGAAAGTGACTCATTAGCAGTAGATGCCTGGCCTTTTGTTTACTTTTCCCTTGTCCAAACGTGCCTGACATTTAAGGAGTGAAAGGACTTTATTTCTCCTAATTCTTTTAAAAAAATTATTTGTAATTGTGCTGAAGGCTGGACGCGCTGGCTCACGCCTGTAATCCTAGCACTCTGGGAGGCCGAGGCAGGAGGCTCGTTCGAGGTCAGGAGTTTGAAACTAGCCTGAGCAAGAGCGAGACCCTGTCTCTACTAAAAATAGAAAGAAATTAATTGGACAACTAAAAATACATAAAAAAATTAGCTGGCATGGGCGCATCTGTAGTCCAGCTACTCGGAGGCTGAGCAAGAAGATTGCTTGGGCCCAAGGATGAGGTTTGCTGGAGCTACGCTGGCACCAAGGGCATTGCCTGCTACAGATGAGACTCTTCTGCAAAATAAATAAATAAATATGCGAATATACATAACATAAAACTATCTTAACATTTAATTACAAAAAAAAAAGGTGGGTTTTTTTATTTATTCCTGATAATAATTAAAGTTATACACATTTGAAAAGGCACTTTATTTTTTGTATATAACATTCCGACGCTCTGCCTGCTAGGATCTCAAAGACACAGATCACATAAAATAATAACAACAATTCAGAATGCGTTCAAGTCATATTTGGATATAATACAAATCAAGTAAAGAATTTCTTCCCATATTCCCAGGTTATTGTGCAGAAAAAATCTTAGAAAATAAGCTAGAAGCTTTTTTGTTTGCTTTTTAACGTCTCCCCTCTCTCAGTGAGAAGGAAGATTAAGATCATTTTACTGGGTTTCCACCGAAGTTGAAAGGCATGGAAACTTGTGCTGGGAAGCCCCGGTGGCCCAGGTCAAAGAGCAGCCGGGGACAATCACACCAGCGGGGGGGACGCAGCACTGGTGGCCGTCCAAACCATGCTCTCCTGACACACTGAACTGCCCCTGCAAGCTCGAGTTGCAAGTTCACTGAACTCAGTGTCCACTGATGTCGTCGTTAACCCGCTGCCTGACGTGGGACAACTTTCTGCCTGACTGGCATATGGCGCTTCGCCAAAACAGCTGATTAGAGGGTGGTGGGGGATTGAGAACTTGTTTTGAAGCTGCCTTTGCATTGGCAAGAGCAGTGGTTTTACTTGTTGGTGTGTTTATTTGGGGTGGCTTGGGAGGATCTAATGGAGATTATCAGGGAGCAGGGACCCTAAAAACCCCAGGCCACCCTTGGTACCATCATGGAACAAGTTGTGTACTTTGATACAAAATTATTATATGAAATGTATCCTGTAATCCTCATTGCAAACCTGCAAGAAGGGATGACTATGCCCATTTTACAGATAGAGAAATTAAGGCTTTATACCAAGGTCACAGAGCCTAGTCGTGGCCAGGTGTGCCAGACTCCAAAGCCCACCATACTCAGCTCCCCCGCCTCCAAGGCAGATGTCATTCCTCCCTTGTCCCATGGTCCCGAGTTCGCTGTGGAACCACCAGGCTCTTGGCATCTCTTTCAGCATCAGCAAGGTTTCCCCCTTGGTAGTCTTCTGTAAGCAGCCGCATCTTCCAAGGAGCGTGCATCTGTGATGACCGATGGCTCAGAGCAGCCCCAGCGAGTGAGCGCTCGCGGCCTGATGTTGGCACTCACCCGGAGTGACATATTTGTGTTTTTCTCCCCAGGAGTTAGCTGTGCCAGTGGTCCACGACGGGGGCGCCCTCCTGGCTTTCGTCTGTGGCGTCGTATACACGCTCCTCCAATCCATCATCTCCTACAAATCGTATCCCCAGTGGACCAGTCTCTCGACGTGCCACATACGGATGGCCATCTCTGCCGTTTCCTGCGCGGCTGTCGTCCCCAGTATCCTTTTCCACACTTGTCAGCTGTTGAAGGGAAAAAAAAAGATTCCATGCTCGCTTTGTTGCCCAGGCTAGAGTGAGTGCCGTGGCGTCAGCCTAGCTTGCAGCAACCTCAAACTCCTGGGCTCAAGCAATCCTCCTGCCTCAGCCTCCCGAGTAGCTGGGACTACAGGCATGCGCCACCATGCCCGGCTAATTTTTTCTATATGTATATATTAGTTGGCCAATTAATTTCTTTCTATTTATATTAGAGACGGGGTCTCGCTCTTGCTCAGGCTGGTTTTGAACTCCTGACCTTGAGCAATCCTCCTGCCTGGGCCTCCCAGAGTGCTAGGATTACAGGTGTGAGCCACCGCGCCTGGCCATGACACTTGCTAAAGCATGGTAAGGAAAACATTATTCAGGACCTCTGAGGTGGGTTCTAGGGACCACTGCCATGGGGTCTTGCAGTGGGGGAGAGAGACTGGGCTCAGTTCCGGAATGCCGCATGGGCAAGTGGGAATTATAGCCAAGGAGCAGGGCAGGGCAGTGGATGGAAAAGTACTGCAAGGAAACAGAGGTAACGGGGATTCTAGAATTCTCACTGAAGATAGGCCAGGGAGACCAGACTGGGGGACAGGGGAAGCTAAGGAATCCGATCAGATATTGAGGGTGAGAGGTTCTTGATAAACTGACTTAACCTGGATTTTACACAGTGGTTCTAGGAGAAAGTTCAGGAAGCTGACTAAAGTGTGGCCAAGTGAAGAATCTTTGTCACAAGGTCCTAGCAAGCTTGACTGCCTGCTCCCCCACACATAAAAAGGGCACGAAGAAAGCAAAGGGTAACAACCAAGTTTCCACATTCTTCAGAAGAACAATTGGTATAAAAGTGTAAATCATTAAGAAAAGATCTCAACATTGGTTAGATCAAAGGAATCTTTGGGGCAAAGAATGTGGGGCGAAAGGAGGGTGGAAAAATGTAGGAACACTTCAGTCTCTATTTTCCTTCCCACAGGGCCGGTTTCATGAGCTGTGTGAAAATATTTATTTTTCTTTGTAGTACTTGGCTAAAGACACCAAATATTGATATTGTACTTAAAGTCATAGCCCTGTGAAGTCCCATAAGGCCATACTTTCTCCTCTCCTTCCTTGCATGTAGGTGAGAAGATGGTTTGATTAAACTGGTCCCTATTAAGAGATTTTAAAAGGCTCTAGATCACTTATTACTAAGTCAATTAAAATACATCTAGCATTTTCTTTTTATAGTCACTGATTTCATTTTCAAAATGAAATTCATTTTGTTCTGTAAGTGAGCAATGTGAAAAGAAAAGAAACTATAAATTTGTCACACTTGTATATTCCAATTTAGAGGAAATGAAAGATTTTTCTTTTTTTTCCTCTCTCTTCTTTTATTTAGTTATTTTATTTTTATTTATTTATTTTTTTGAGACAGAGTCTCACTTTGTTGCCCAGGCTAGAGTGAGTGCTGTGGTGTCAGCCTAGCTCACAGCAACCTCAAACTCCTGGGCTCAAGCAATCCTGCGCTCAGCCTCACTAAGTACGATGGGACTACAGCAGCTCCACCCATGCCGCTAATTTTTCTATATAAACTCTAAATTTTCTACTTTATGTAGAGACGGTCTGTCTTGCTCACTGGGTTCGAACTGCTGACCCTCGAGCAATGCCAGTCTCGCCCCCCAGAGTGCTAGGATATATTGGCGAGAGCCACCAGTGCCCGCTATTATTTTTTTAGAGTCAAGGTCCCTCTTCACCCCAGGCTGCATGCTGTGGCCCCACTTTCGATTAGCGAGCAGCCCCCCTCAAGAATCCTCAGGTCCAATGATCCTCCTAACCTAAAAATGAGTAGCTGACCAAGGCCCCTCCTCCACATCAGTCTTTCTTCTTACCTTTCTTCTTTTCCTTTTTTCTTTTTTGTTAAAGAAGAGTTCACTCCATTGTCCTGGGTAGAGTGCAGTGGGATTGTACAGCCACCCACAAGCCCACAAGTCCCAGGCTGTGAGCGATCCTTCTGCTCAGCCTTCGGTGGTTACTGGGACTACAGGCGCGCGCCCACAACACTGGTGAGTTTGTGGATTTGTAATATTATGTATATTTTTTATTCAGTGGAGACAGATCCGCACAATCCCAGGCCCTATCAAAACCCCTGAGCTGCTGCTACTCCGATTGTCTCAGCCCTCCCAGAAAAGCTCAGAAATACAGGCTGAGCCACCTACATCCAGCTATCTTTCTTTCTTTAATAAGTATCTGAAAAAGAAAAAAATAGCTGTCTTAAGAGCACTGGTGTAAAAGGTTCCATCTTTAAAATACCATTGTAGTCCTATCAGAGAAAGCTGCCATAGGTCAATACAAATGATGACTAATGCAGATTGTGGAAAAATTTAGAACTATTTATATCATGGCCAAATTTAGTCTGGGTATTATGAAAAAGGGCAAGCTGTACTGAAAACACATCATTGCTTTCACTTATTAAGGTTTGCATTGCTTTTGTACAATTGAAACCATACAAAATTTACATCTAAATAGGTTTTGGGTTTTTTTTTTTTTGGTGCATCTTAGAGAAGACAGATTTTAATTACAAATTCCAAGCACGAGGAACTAGATTACCAACAAAGATATACCCTTATACTAAGACAATTCCCTTCTCAATTCCCTTGTTCTCTTATAGATGTAAAGCCTTTGCTCTCTTTGAAATATTTCATTAAAACTTTAGCTTGTGTTAGTTGAAAGGTTACATTAGAAGTGTTGGTAGTGTTCACAAGCAAGTTCTTAGCTGTAGGACCTTCCTGCTTCCAATTTTGGAGATGATCTGATAATTTTAAAATCAGAGGTTTTTAGCAGATAACATTTCAAGGCCTCAATTCACATAAAAGTTCTCATTTCTAGGAAGTTCTTATTATGACGATGCCAAGGAGTACACCCCAGCAGAAAAGGGGTTTAGCTCCTATATCAAAACTCAAATGGAATTCATCCACATGAAAAAATGTTTGTCTTAAATTTAGATGGTAATATTTTCTTCACAAAGACTAGAAAGTATCTTCAAATTCGGTTTTCTTATGCAATATTCGTGAAATGCCTCAGTTTGACTCAGGAAGAAAGTCAGCGCCTTAGTAAGGCAGGCATCTGACTCTTGCTTTAAACCCTTCACCGCTATTGTCCTACTTTGCACCGGCTTCTAAAGCTCTGAAGTCTCACAAAACACTGACACAATAACGTCCAGGCGTGCCATGAAGACACGAGCTCCTCCAGACCCTGCCTACTGCTTCAAGCCTCATTATTTATGCTTTTCTCCCTTAGGTAGCCTTGTTTTTGTGCTCCAATTTTGCCCATGTGCTTCTTGGCTAGATGAAATGCTTGTCTTTCATACGTAACTGTCGTCCTCGACACATACCACATGTTGGCTTTTGCAACTTGGATGTGGCTAATTAAACTGAAATGTGCCTAAATTAAATACATACCATTTCAAAGATTAATATAAAAAAAAAGAAGTGACCCTCACTTATGACACATGTTAATATATCATTACATATATTGATATATGGGTATAATATATCATTATAATATAACAGAATTGAATAAATATCAATGTATATATTACAAAGTGTTATGTGGATTAGATAAGCGTCATATTATTGGAAATTAATTTCACTTGGTTCTTTTTGTTTACAGTGAATATTTTACAGAATCATTTATTTCCCACTTCCCTCCCCATCTATATTCCTCACACTTACTTCTGTTAAAGACCAGAGGCCAGACTCACCAACTTATTACTCTCAGCGAGCTTTTCCATGACCCCGCACCCTATCCAATTCTGAATTAGTATTCCTCTCTGAGTCAATGCTGACCTTTCTTTCTCTCTAGCATGCACAACCTTCGGGCTTCATCCTGTGATATTCTTGTCGCCGAGACCAAGTCTATTTGCTGGGTTTCCCTCCTCTACCTTCAAACGCAGCATGGTAACTGGTGTACCCAAAACAAAAGGCAATCATGATCTAGATTTTATTCTATTTTACTGTTACAACTTCAAGAGCTTTTAACTGTAGGAAAAAAGTATCTGTAATGAATGATCAGAGGATCTTCTAGCTTCTCTACTTCTTTGTTTTGAGAAAACAAGAAGTGATAAGCTGGCAACACTTGGTGGAAGGGTTGCTTGCTGAATTCAGTGAGGCTCCAACTTTGCTTGCTTAACACTTGGATTCTAATTGTAGACTTTTTGGAAGCACTCCCGTGTTCCTTCTAGCTTCTCTGTCTGCATTTTGAACGTTCCATTTAAATGGTTGTCAAGTCCTTTTTACACACAGTAGAGTCAAGGAAAGCAGGAGCCTCAGCCCCTGCTTTCCCAGCCCAGGCATTATTTGGCCCTGAGGGGTTGTCATTCACTCCAAAGTCAGATGCAGGTGAATTTCTTCTGATTTGTAAACCCTTTGGGCAGAAGGAAGGGCTCTACTTATATATTCCCACATTACCAAAAACTATTTTTAGTTTTTATTTATTTTTGAGACAGGTTCTTCCTCTGTCTCCCAGCTGGAGTGCAGTGGTGTCATCATAGCTCACTGCAACCTCAAACTCCTGGGCTCAAGTGATCCTCCTGCCTCAGCCTCAGAGTACTGGGACCACAGGCATCACACCACCATACCACAGTTTTTCTCTTTTCGTAGAGAAGGGTCTGGCCTTGCTCAGGCTGGTCTTGAACTTCTGGTCCAAGTGATCTTTCTGCCTGGCCTCACAAAATGCTAGGATTATAGACATGAGCCACTGCAGCCAGCAAAAGTCTATTTTAAATAAGAGTTTTAGAGATTGAATTTCTGTACTTCTTTTGTATAGAGCCTTGGTACTTGAAAGTTAAATCCTTAAAAGCTGTACCTTGAAAACAGTATTTAGGGGAAAAGTATTTCATTCAGTACAAAGTTTCAAAAAGGACCCATCTTGGACTGCTTCATCACCCATTTTGACCAAATGTAAATAGCTAGTTTAAGTAGAAACACCCAGAACATGCAGGGTTGAGCAATATTACCACAGATTAAATTTTGCTAACGAACTGAAAAAGTATGCTAAGGACTGCCATACTTCTGTGTTGTAAACTTAACTGCTATCCTAATTGAATTTAAGTTTGAGATCATGGGAAGCTAAGATCATTGGTATGTTTGTAGAAAAGTTGGTATTAACATTTTAGCACTGTGTGATGATTATAAATTAGTAGAATAATCTAGTCTTAACATTAAAGAAAGTTTTCTGCTTGTGTTCCTTAACAGTTCCTTTTTTTAGTGATTGCCTGTGCTTCACTAATTTCTATAACCAAGCTGGAGTGGAATCCAAAAGAAAAGTAACATTTAATGTGTTCTCATATGACTGTTGAGCCTGGTTATGTGAGATTGCTGGGCAAAGCCTAGAAAGATCACGTCCATTTCTCAGGACAAATTGCAAAAATGGGAAAGAATATGGTATATAATCTCTTTCTAATTATTTGGCAGTGTGTATGTAGTAATAAACAGCAGGTAATCCCATGGTCCGGGATTATTTCAATTTTTGAATTCCTGATTCTTCCTTTTTTTCTTTGAGACCAGAGTCTCGCCTGTTGCCCTGAGTAGAGTGCAGTGGTACCATCATACCTCACTGCAACCTCCAAACTTGGGCTCGTGTGATCTCCCACCTTAGCCTCCTGAGTAGCTGGGACTACATAGTGGCGCCACGCTGCCCACTAATTTTTTCTATTTTTAAGGTAGAGATGGGGCGTCTAATTTCTTGCTCAGTGCTGGTCTCAACTCCTGGTCAGTATCCTCCGCTTTGGCTCCCCGTGCTGGCTTCAGGCGGAGTCACTGCCCCA